CCGCCGCGCCGCCCGCCGACGCGCTGCCCGCCGCCGCCGCGCCGCCACCCGCCGAGCCGGCCGCCGCGCCGCCACCCGCCGAGCCGGCCGCCGCGGCCGCTGCGCCGCCCGACGCACCCGCGGCGGCGGCGGCGGACGCGTCCAGCACCGCCTGCGCCGGCCCGAGCCGCTGGAGTATTTCCCACTCCGGGTCCTGCGAGGCGAAGCGGCTCTGGAGCGAAGCGAACTTCGGGTGCGCCTCGATATCCGCGGGCGTGGCATTTTTGTGCATGACGAAGTGGTTAGGTTGAGTGCCAACTACGACCTTTGTCGGGTACCTCCTGAAAGGTACCTTGCCGATGTATGAGACTTTGTGCCGCGCCATTTTTAGGAGGCGCGAAGAGGCGCGAAAGAATTTAAACAGCACAACTTGCTCTCACAGCCTGACCGTTCGGTGAGAAAGATGATGGAGAGACAGGATAGGGAGCGACAGGAGGGGAGCCTCGGGGAGGATGAGACGTTGTTCCCAGAGGGGGCGCCCCAGAGACACATAAACTGGCAGAAAGAAGACCACGAGCTCTCCATCCGGCCGGTGACGTCTGAGCGGCCTGCTTGGTGATCATGCGGCGCGGCTAGCTTTGATGGGCGTCTGCGATCGCCCGGTAGGCGGCCACGATGCTCGCGAGCGAGTGGTTTGCCGTGACCTGCCTCCGCCACGTGGGCGCCTTGCAGAGCGGGCAGCACATCTGCGACATGATGCGGAAGCAATCGGTGATGCAGGCGAGGCAAAAGTTGTGGCCGCACGGCAGGAAGGTCGGCTCGTCGAAGATGTCCATACAGACGGTGCAGCGGAGCTCGGCGGCGAGGGCTTCGATGCTCTTCGGCGCGAGCTGCGTCGGCGGCTGCGAGAGGGCGACGGCGTCGCCGCCCGAGGCCGGCCCCTCGCTCTCCCCGCACACCTCGCGCTCCTCTTGGACGCACGCTTTTGGCAACTCCGGCTGCGCTGCCGCCGCTTGTACAGGCGGCGGCTGCGATGGCGGCGGAGGCGACAGCGATGGCCGCGGCCGGGGCGTTTGTGGCGACATCCGCACCGCGCACTCGTCGAGGTGCCTATTAAAAGCCCGCGGCTGGAGAGGCGACTCACCACTCTAGCGGCGCGGCGGTTGAGTGGGGTGCGAGTTCAGCTTCGACAGCTGCACGCACACGCCGCACGCCGGGCAGGAGACGCGAGGGTCACCGCCGGTACTCCCACCATCGCCGCTCGAGCTACTTTGACAATCGCCGGAAGAGGCGCAGCCGCTCTCTCTCTCGCGGCAGCTGTCCGCGTCCTCTGCTTCGCGTGCTCCCGGACAGACATCGAGGTGCGCAAAGACGGCGGCCTCGGTCGGAAAGTAGGAACCGCACGAGGGGCACGCGACCTCGGACGCCACTGAGGAGGCGGCGCTGTTTTGCGATGCGGCGGCAGCCGCCGCGAAGGGCGGCGCGGCAGCCACGCCCCCGGGGCAGCACTCCAGGTGTGAGCCTATCAGGGCTCGGTGGATCTGTTCGCCGCAGCACGGGCACTCGATGAACCGTGAGCCGTCACCACGCGTCTCGCTGAAAGGAGGCCGCCGGGCGGGATCGCTGGCAGGGCTTGATGTTGCACGTTCACAACGCGCGCGGTTGAGCAGGACGTCAAACGCCGACGGCCGCTGCGACACCGGACGCTTGCCGAGTGCCTTCGACGTTGTCATATGCAAACGCATCCGGCGCGAAGTCCTGAAAAAATGACGGCCCCTCAGCGGAGCTGGGGAGAGGACCGCCGCAAG